ATATTTACTCTCACTTAAGCCATACACTCCTCTATCAGACTGCAGGCCATTCCATAATCCTTTCATAGTACCTTCTCAAGACTCCCCATTTAGTAGCTGCCAAACAAACAAACAAACAAACAAAGACACAACCCACTGCTGAGTCAGTTCTGATGAACTGCTACCTTCCATCGAATTCCTGAGGCTCTAAGTTTTGTTTGGAACAGAATGCTTATCTTTTCCTGTGAAGCTGCTGGTGGACTTGAACCCGCTACCTTCTAGTTTGTAGCCTGATAAGTTAGACACTATAACACCAGGACTTCTTCACACGTTATAGGACAGGAAAATAAATACTACACTAAAAATTAAGATACCTGAATGTTATCTGCTATGTTCAACACTTACAAAGTTATCAAGCAATCCATTCACACAAAAAGATTAACCGAGGACCACCTTAGATGTAAAGTTCTAGGTTTCTTACTTCCTATTATACTCTTATTTTTTTTATTCAATCACCTCAGCAAAATTCCAACAGAAATGTGAAATTCAATTTTAGAAACAAGAAATGGAAATGCTCAGCATATAATAAGATAATTTTTATTTTTAAAAAAGAAAAGCTTCAAAGAATTTAGAAGCCATGGAATCAATTATCATTGGCCTGAATTTAAAAAGTTAGATTTATGTGTGATTCTCATGTGAATTCTATTGACCAGATGAGAAATCTACTATGCTGGGAGTGGAAGATTATAAGAGGGTAAGTAACAGATACAGAAATCATATTTACCTAGAGGATTTAGAAATGAAAAATTGCGTGGTGCTGTCTCCTAGGATGAAGGGAGCTCTTGTGGCTAGTGAGGAACTGTGCTGCCAACACAACTGTGCATGCAGTTTGAATCTACCAGCTGCCCTGAGGAAGAAAGACGGGCATTCTCCTCTTATACGAATATCTGCCTCTGAAAATCTGCTGGAGGATCAAGCTATGACTCAGTTCTGACTCAATCACATGTAATATACCATCTCCTGGTATTGGTGCTGAAGGTGAAGTGATCCTTTAACACTAGTCTAATTGTGGACAAAAGAACCTTTCCTTGATTTTTCCACAGCACAGCTGAAATGAAACGGAAACAATAAAAATACATGAAACAAAGGCTGAGAACTCTCAAGAAGCATAAAATGAACAAAGAACATTATGACTGTAGGGCATACAAGTTTTAATCTTATTTAACTTATTTCTAATACAATAAAAGGGCACCTTCTTTCTCATTGTTTCCTACCTACAGTTTCAACTACACAAAGGAATATCACTCTAGAGACTTAAAAACAAAGAGGAAACCACACTTAACTATCAAATCTCCATAACCAGTCTTTTTAGTTTTTAAGGCTAAGGCACTCACTGCTTCTTTCCAGTATGTGAAATTAGAAATAGTTGACCTTTCGGCGCTGCGTCAGCATTTGTACAGTTTTCACGAAGAATGAATGGATCTTATAAAGACTACACGTGTATGACAAGGGGGTAGAAGTCAGAGAAATGCCATTTCTCGTATTCTTTTTACTTCTCTTTTAACTATTACAAACTTTCTTACATCAATGACATTCAACTTTGCTTATGCAATATCAATGAGGCCTCTAATTGTAAAAACAAAATTCATTTCAAAACAATTTTAAAATTCACAAGATATTAAAAGTCAATCATAACAAATACAGGTGTCCTCTGTGTCAACTGACATATTTATCACTATAATATGAAACAGTAATCTACAGGATTATTCATATTCACATCAAATAGCTAAGAATACTGGATGGTTTCCAGATACAGTATTAATAATTATTTCTAATGCTGGGAAATAACTACTTTATAGAATGAAAATACAGACAGTTGAATCCCAGAGGGTTCAATTAATACACCTAAAGCTAAAAACTGCAGAGGTTATCTAAAGACTGGCCCTAGCATTTCTCCAAATAATATTTACTTTAAATAAACTCACTGAATCCACTTGTAAATTATTTCTCTTTGGCTGTCTCATTATTCAATATGCTTTCAAGGAACATGGTGATGAAAGAAGAAAAATACCTCTTTCTAACATAACCATACTGGCAAGAACATCAACATTATCAGTATTCAAAGAATGTCTTGGCAGGTTAAACCTTCATAAAAAGAAGGAACACTATCTAATCCAAGTTGTCAAAATAGCAATAGTACTTCTCATATTATGTGCAATGTGATTGTTTGTTTCTAATGGAGAAAAGAAAAAACTAAAGAAAAGAAACATACCAGTACTGGTGGCAGGCTTAAATTTAAGTAAAGACAAAAAAGTCCTTGAGAATAGTCATTAAGAATACTAAACATAGGCATATTTAAAATGAAAAGTTAAATGCAATAAAACTTGCTGTTCAAAGAGATTTATGGCAATCATGGGTGGAAGTTAAAACAACATATTTTAACATTTTCAAGGTACGACAACATTAAGAAATGTAAAAGCACTATACTAAGAGAGAAAATCTTGATGCTTTCCTAAAAGTTTGCTCTAATTCATACTATTATTTCCTTATGTAGTAACAGCTACTATTTTATTATTTAGGTAGCTTTGGTGGCTTAGGAATAAGGAATAATGCTACCAACCAAAAGATAGGCAGTTTGAATCCACCTTATGCTCCACAGGAGAAAGATGGGCTCCTCCCATGCAATTTAACCACCTCTGAAACTCACTGGAGTGTCAGCAATGAGTTGGTTGTGACTCGACATTAAACAACAATAATGATTTTACTAATTAAGATATTTGATAAATCTTTAATTACTTTTATGGTTCAGTGCTTCCAGCATGCTCTTTAAGAGACTGAACTGTTTTTGAAATTACTGAAGACAACAGAGTGATGAGTTTGCTCAATACACATTTTTATAGGTGTTCTCAAGAATAAATGTTGTATACTATAAAATACTGTTATTCACCTTCAAAAGGAAATAGCTAGACTGATAACCTATTTGTTAGTAAAGTGATATACAACTATTTTTTTTCCTATTTTCCTTTCTACTACCTTTTCTTGCCTTTGTTTTCTTACCTGTCATTTTGCTTCTGTACCTGATCTTTTCTTACCTTAGGGACATTTAACTTTTAACTACTCAACTTTTTCTGGACCAATAGTTCACAGTGTTATTAACAGCAGCAGGAGGCGCTTCTATCCATCCACATCCTGAGGAATCACAGCCTGGGAGGGATGGACGGGACCTGAAGGCATCATCTGGCCGAGCCCTATGCCAGCAGGAACAGGTGGCTGACTGTCCTTCACTTTTACCCCTCCTTTTTATTTTTTTGAAGATGACTAAAGATGTTGATGATTAATAACCCATCATAGCTTGTTTAATAAACAATCTTCTTAGTAACAAGTAAAAAGACAGAAAGTAGAAACAAAAGAGGACTTTAAAAAAAGCCCAAGATCTGGACTCTGGTTTCAGCACTATTGCTTACCGTATAATATAATTTCTGTGACATTCAACTTTACATATAAACAAATACTGTTTACCACACAGAATTATAAAGTTCTTGTATTGTTGTGTTGTTAGCTGCCATCTAGTCGACAACATCATGAACAACAGATCTGAACTTTGACCTGTCCTGCTCAGTCATGCGCACTACCAGCCATGCTCAAGCCGACTGCTGTAGTTACTGTACCAATACATCTCATTTCACTGATTCTCAGCCTTTCTCAGGAGGATGTCTTTTTCAAGGACTGGCCTCTCCTGAAAACATGCCCAAAGTACAAGACAAGTTTCACCTCCCTTGCTTTGACGGAGCACCCTGGTTGACTTCCTTCAAGACAGATTCGAAAAATGTTACAGAACTATGAACTTCTTGAAGGAAAAGAACAAGTCTTATTGATCTTCATAGTTTCAAGATGTGCCATAGCATCTAGCAAAAGGAAGCATTCAAATATTCACTGGATGAAGTCTATCAGTAGCCTTAAAATTAAGAAATGAAAATTAATTAAAATTAAGATTGGGTCAGATCTGTACAGATGTTAGATGACAAAGAGGTCTTTACATAAAAATATACAACAATGCGAACATGTTTTTACAAGCAGACTCTTATATATGTGATTGAATGAGATAAAATACAATCTCTTTATTGTTAGTGTTACGTGCCATCAAGTCACCTCCAACTCACAGCAACCCTATGTACAATAGCACTGAAGCCTGCCCTGTACTGAGCAAGTATCACTGACTCCAACGCATCTACCTCCATTACCCCAGTTGCTGTGTTAATCCATCTCATATGCGGTCTTCCTCTCCTGTGCTGTCCCTCCACCCTTCCAAGTATGACGCTTCTCCAAGGACTGGTCGCCCCCCCCCCCCCATCACATGCTCAAAGTATGTGAGATGGAGCTTCAAAATCCTAGCCTCCAAGGAGAACCTGAGTTTCATCCTCTCCAAAGAGACCCATTTATTCTCTTGGCAGTCCATGGTATGTTACATACTCCAACAGCACACGCAAAGGCATCAATTCTTCTGTCATCCTTAGTCATTCTCCAGCTCTCTGATGCATAGTAAGTAATTGCGAAGCTCATGGCCTGGATCAAGCACACCTTCATGCCCAGACTAACATCATTACTCTTTTGCACTGTGGAGATGTCCCTGACAGCAGACTTTCCCAATGCAATTTGTCTCTTGATTTCTTGGCTGATGGTGCCAAGAAAGTTGACTGTGGAGTCAAGCAAGCTGAAATTGTTAACAACCTTAATCTTCTCCATCTCTCATGGTGCTGCCAATCAGCCCAGAGGTGAGAATCTCTGTTTTCTTGATGTTGAGCTTCAATTTATATTGAAGACTACTGTCCTTGACATTCTGCAGCAAATGCTTGAGGTCCTCCTCTGTTTTAGCAATCAAGGTTGTGTCATCTGCATAACGCAGGTTGTTGATGAGTCTTCCTCCAATCTTGATGCCACATTCCTCCCACAAGCCCATCCTCCCGAATAATCTTTTCTGCATAAATCATAAAAAAACCTAATAAAAAGAGTAAATTGCTTACCTTGTTATGTATAAAAATAATCCTCAAGTCAGGTTTAAGAATACCATAGTTTATGAGAAGATCTTGGACCTTTTTTATTTCATCTTTACATTTTTTAGCAGTTGAGTAAAATTGCTTTCTTACAGGTAGGCTCTTAAATAATTTTAAAACAGTTACAGTTGTACCTGTTGGCAGATAAGATAAAAACATAGTTAGATTTGGAAGAAATACATAGATCTTCAAATCTGTAAGTAATCCAGTCATTAACCCCTTCTATTGCTGAAGGCCTGTTATCTTCCAACTCTGAGAACTATGGGTTTTATCTGACGTAAAGCAACCCCACAGGAAACCCAATGGGTTTCCAAGGCTGTACTCCTTACCATCACATCTATTTCTAATAGAACAACTGCAGGATTTGAACTGGCTGCTTTCTGGTTATCAGTTTAACCACCATTCCACCAACTGTCCCACCCATGGCATTTTCTACTTTCTGCTAGGTTTCTTACAATGGCCATATAGCACTCAGACAATACTCATGATTATAGGGTTACTTGAATGATAACTCCAAATGCGGTTTGGGGGGACTCAGGCTCTTCTCAGTGGTGCCTGCAGGCAAGTCTCCCCATAGCCCTCAGTCCTTGGCCCCTCTGGCCTCTGTTCTGATGAGGCAAGCTCTTCAGTTCTACCACTGAGTATCCAGACCTCCCTCTGCCACCAAGTCTTCCACTATGAAAACACTCCGTTCTCACTTTGGGTTTTTGGAAAGAAAGAAAAAGAAAGAAAGAAATTATTCTCTCATAGACTGCTGCTGAGATACCATCTCACAGATTAAGAGGCTAGAAGTCCAAATCTGGGGTGTTGGCTCTCATTGGTTCTGGAAGGTCCTTGATTCCTCCAGCATCTGCAGACTCCTCATTCCATGGAGTCTCTACTTGTCGTGGCCCTGTCAAGGAGTTTCCCAGCTCTTTGCTCTTGCTGTCTGAGGTCCCTCCTTTACTATAACTTTTTTCACTAGCCAAGATGACACACATTTTGGGGCAACAATTCAATCATGGACACTAACAATGATATTAATATTATAAGAGAGAATGGTAAATTTGTCTGCTTCCAAGAGCATTTTCTCTCAACCTTCTTCCAAGTTTATTGGATTTCTCAATTGTCTTTCACAGACAATACAGAATTTCACAAACATTTCTGCCCCTTTCATTTTGTTCCTGGGTAACTCCTTAGACTGAATTTAGAGGGGTCCTCTAAAATCCTCTCCTCCTTTCTCTCAGAGGCTTCTTCTTTGAACTCCTATGTTATGTTAGTCACATGTCTGCATCAGTCACTCAGCTTTTTCATTCCATGAGCTGAGAAGCCCACTCTGTCTTGCACAAGTCTTCTGATTCTGCTACTGCCCTTCCTTTGCAGCTCTTTCTCTTTATTTCACACTAGGTACAGTGTTACAGCTCCTTCTTTCTCTCTTTCCCAAGTCCTAGAGGTTCCCAGTGCAGAAATCTCTTCTAACACAGGTTTACTTACTCCTAAACAATTTATTTCTCCTTGTAGAGTATTTTTATATGTTGCCTTTTAGGAAAAAAAAAAGTTAAGTGTTATTTATTCCTCTAATTAACACATATATTAGAAGCAATGCACAAAATTCAACTGAGGTATCAGGATGTTGCCTGGCCAAAAGGGATTTTAGAGTATCACTCATTATAAGCTAAAACTTGTTTTCACAGATGCCAAACTGATGTATGTGCCTGGTAACTAATGAATTAAGTCATACACAGACTCACTCTGAAAATGACCAAACAGCTGTCCTCGAATGCCTCAAATTGACCACACTCAGATCTGAACTATCTTCTTCTTGAGTCTTGATGCTATGCATGACCTCCTTTTCTCAGTAAACACTGCTAACCAACAATTTTGAACGGCAGAAACAATAGACTTAATTGTTTCTTCCCTCTATACCCTTATTGTCAATATGCACAAACACCTAGGTCTTTCTTTTCTAAACAAGTATCTGGATTCTTCATATAGTCCTGCTTCTTGAATGATTTGCTCAGCATACAGATTGAATAGGTGTGGAGAAAGGATACAATAATGATGCATACTTTTCCTGATTTTAATCCTGAATGTTTGCAGCAGAGGGTCAAGGACCACAGCCTTTAATATGGACTGAAGCTCAACATCAAGAAAACAAAGATTTTCACCACTGGGCTGATTGGCAGCATTATGATAGATGAAAAGATTGAGATTGTGAACATCTTTAGTTTGCTTGGCTCCATAATCAACACTCTTGGTACCAGCAGCCGGGAAATCAAGGGACAAAATGCATTGGGAAAGTCAAGTGTCAGGGACCTCTCAAGAGTACTGAAGAGCAACAACGTCAAGCTGGAGACTAAGGTGTGCCTGACGTAGGCTAAAGTCTTTGCAGTTACATGCTATGCACTAGAGAGTTGGATAGTGACTACAGATGATAGAGAATTGATGCCTCTGAGCTGTGGTGCTGGAGAAGAGTGTTGAATATACCATGGACTGCTAGGAGAACAAACAGGTTTGTCCTGGAGAGAGTGAAGCAGAATGCTCCTTGGAGTCAAGGATTCTGAAGCTTCATCTGACATACTTTGGGCATGTTGCAAGGAGGGACCGGTCCTTGGAGAGGAACATCATGTTTGGGAGAGTGGAGAGACGGCCCAGGAGAGGAAGACCGTCGATGAAATGGGATCGATTTTGTGATTGGGGCTGTGGAAGTGATTGTGTCGGAGATGGTGAAGTTGGCACAGAACAGAGCAGGGCTTAGGGCTCTAGTACATAGTGTCACTGTGAGTTGCAAGTGACTCGACGGCACATAACAACAACAGCAACAACAATTGTAAATAAAACTCAATAAACAGGAGATTGTTTATATTTCTTTGGAAAACATACCTAGTAGTGGGATTGCTGAAATCAATTGTTATTTTTAGTCTCTTGGTGTCTTAAGAGAATTCACGAGCTGTTCTGAGGGAGAATTATGGGCAATCTACTTTTGTGCCATTTACAGCCTCTAAAATTCCACAGGAGGGTGAGCTATGAGTTAGTTGTGACTCAATGGCACATAACAACAAACTTTCTAAGGAAGCACCAAACTGCTTGTCATGGTGATTGTATCATTTTATACTCCTTCTAGCAGTGTATATTGGCCTTACGTACTACTGAGTCCAAATTGACTTCAGCTGATCCTCAGGTGGGTTTTTTAATGCAATACATGGGGAAGGAGAATGCTCATCTCACCCCCTGTTACTCTAAGAGCAGCTGGTGAGTCTGAACCATGTGCCTTGGAGCTGGCAGCACAACTCCTTAGCAGCATTGTATGAGAGTGACAAATACCCTCATCAGCATTTGTTTACTGTCTTGAACCCTACTGGGAGAGAGAATACCTTATTGTTTTGATCTGCATCTCTCCAATAGCTAAAGATCTTAAGCATTTCTTCACAGTATGTCTCATTTGGGGTGCTTTGGCGGTCTTCAGGAGCTGTGGGGCTAAAGCAAAAGCAATGCCTATCTGGAGGTTCCACTCCACCAGTGGCTCTGTGGTAGAAGGATGGGCAGCCTGCTTTCATGGGATTTCTCTAGAAACCCAATGGGAGGTCAACTGTGTCCATTCCTACTCAACAGCAATGAATGAGTGCAACAGTCAATAATCTCGAACATTTCTTCATGTGTCTGTCAGCCATAGGAATGTCTTCTTTGGTGAAACGTCTGTCTTTTGCCTATTTTGTAACTGGTTTGTTTGACTTTTTCTTGCTTAGAGTCTTTTATGAATTTTAGAGATGTGTCCCTTATCAGATCTATCATCTCAAACCATTTTTTTCCCCAGGCTGAAGGTTTTCATTTCACTATTTTGGACATGTGTCTGGATGACCAAAGGATTTCATTTTTAGGAGGTGCCTGTCGTCTAATTTATTTTCTGTTTTCACTTACATCTGGTAGTCTGTTCATGTCATAGATTAGGGTTCCCAAGTTTGCACCATATTTCTTTGATGATTTTTTATAATTTCAGGTGTTATGCCAAGTTCTTTGACCCATCTTGTGTTAGATTTTTGTACAAGATGTGAGGTATAAATCTTGTTCCGATTTTCTGTAAACAGCTAACTAGTTTTGTCAGCACCATATGTTGATGTTGTTAAGTTCCGTTGAGTTGTAGGCGACTCATAGTGACCCTATGAACAAAAGACCTGGACATTTGTATAACTTCCATCTTTTCTTTGGGTTCACAGGGTTTCCAGAGGCAAGCTACTTCAGAAGTGGATGCCACTAATGCTTCCGAGCTTTTTTTTTTTAATTTTATTTTATTAATTTT